CTTCCCTTTTTACCCTGTTGGAGAAGTTTTTGGATGTGCATAGGGATTTGATTCTTAGAAGGTCCCATTCATCTATTTTATCTTCTCCTGGTTGTAGACCCATCTTTTTTTAGTTACCCATCCCAAGCCCCATGTCAGTCATGATTTATAGCAGTGGCATTATGTAGTATTTGTCCTTCTGTGACTGAGATATTTCTCACAGTGTAATGTCCTCCACGGTCACCCATTTTGTATATTTTATGAGTTCCTTGTTTTTCAGTGCTGTGTAGTATTCTATTGTGTGACTATAGCAAAGCTTCTTTCTCTATCCATTCATTTTTTGATGGGCATTTGGGTTGCTTCCATATCTTTGCTATTGTGAACAACACAGCAATAAACATGGATGTACATATATCTCTTTGGGTGGCAGTTCTTGTTTCTTTAGGGTGTATTTCCAGTAGTGGAATTGCTGGCTCAAATCTGAGCATTTTGAATTCCCCTGTCCTTTGCAGGGTTTGTACCTCATCTTGTTACTCATAGGAATATGAAGACTTGGCTTGTTCTCTTGCAAGGTCCTTGACACTTTGACTCGACTAACACTTACTCTGCTTTAAGGGTTGGACTATGCTTCAAAATGTTTGAAGATGTTTCTTTAACTGGTATATTTGTTATCGTAACTGCCCTTTCTCAAAAATTTTGAAAAAGTCCTATTTAAATTTTAAATAAGCAAGTTAATATTAGATACAAGGTTGTGTTTGGCCATGTACCTGGTTATTATTCTCATTAATACTTTATTGTTGTGGCCCTGGGGGATCCTCTCAAGAAACAGAATGACTCATTTCCTGAGGTTATCTTGGGCTTGCGGGACTCTAAAAGAGCATTAACTAGACAATGTGCAAATAGATGGATTTCCAGTGTTATCACACAGCAGATGAATAGTTCTCTCCTGTATGATTAATAGGCCAACATTGCTGAATCATTGTGAACTCAGAGCAGTACTAAACTGTTATTTCCTCACACTGGCACCAGCAGGAGAAGTCATGAGTTTCTGGGGCCTGTTGATTAGGAGTAGTGCCCCCAACCCAAAGGCACGTGGTTCAAATTCACCGGCTGCTCAGTGGGAGAAATAGGGACAGTCACCTACCATGTGATTTATAGTCTCTGCAAACCTGCTAGAGGGTCAGCTCTGAGTTGGTTCTGCCTTGAAGGCACACAGCAACAGCAGCAGCAAACCTGCTTCATAGCCGGCTGAGTCTAAAGCCTACCAGCACAGTGAAGAGCTTACCTTTGTTGCTGTGTAACCTGAGCACTTGGTTTAACCCTTAGCCTTTTTTGCATTTCAGTAGTATTGATTTTTAGTGTTCCCAATATAGGAGAAAGGATCCGGGTTGATTGATGTTGTGGTATTAGAGCCCTGAAAGAGTGATACTAAAATTCCACCAGAAGAGAAGGCAAAAGAAAAAGAATTGTGTAAAGAATTAGCATTTAAGAGAAACCAGATGGTTCTGTGGTCCTCCAGAAAGCTCTCCTTGAGTGCTTTGCTGCAGTTTCTCATCTCGCCAGCTTACAGGGTGGGGAAGCATTTTTTTTTTTAGCTTGGAGATTTTTGTTAAGTATTTTCCCCCAGCACTTACTACTTTTTAAGTTGAAAGAATTGTATAAAGAACATTCATGTAATCTTTACCTAGCATTGTTCTTTGTTAATAGTTTGCCACGTTGGTGTCTATTTATTTATCTGTCATCCGCTTTTTTCTTGAATGGCTTAAAAACTATAGACATCATGTCCCTTGCACCTAAATACTTACACATCTGTCTCCTATGACTGAGAGCATTTCCCTACATAATCATAATACTATCATTGTACCCAAGAAAGGGAATCTGAACTCATTAATATCACCTATAAAGTATATCTCTATTTCACTAGATTGTCCCATTTTTAGTTTGCACATTGCATTTGGTTGTTGCACCCCTGTAGTTTGTTCTATTTGATAATAAACTCACTTTGGTTGGTTTTCATTAGTTTGAATTTTTATTTTATTTTTTTTTTAAAGAATCAAGGTCAGTTTCGGCCAGAATGTTCTGCTTTCTGTTTTAATCCAATGATACCGAATATTATTCAGGTAATGTGTCATTCTCAAGGCTTTCGGCCAGATTGCTTCACTATTGGTGATGCAGCTCCTGATCTTTCCTCTGCAAAATTAAATTTCCTCCTCTGCAGTGAGCAACCAGTCTATAGCGTGATAGCTTCAGACCACATGAATGTCCCAACTCTCTTTGAGGTGGTGTTTTGGCATCTGATGATGCCCATTGTCTGAATCCCTTATTATGCTGTGGATTGTAAAAGGAAGATTTTCTTATTGTTTCACTTTTTTCACTACTTGTTAGGTGATAATATAAGAAAAAAAAAATTCTACCATCATTACTCTGTCAGCATCTCTCAAGGTCCTGTTTTTATTGTGTATATGTCACTATCATTTTTCCTCTCATAAGTTCATATTTCTGCATGTTTGGCCAGTTGGAGCTCCCTGATATGACTTCTGAGTTCTTGTGAGATGACCCCATTGGTTTCTAAACACATCTTCATTTTCTGGTATAACCTTCAATTTTCTGGTGCTTTCTCCAAAGAGCTCTGGTTCTTGTTAGTGGCGAATGTCACCTGGGACTTTAACACAGGGATCCTCTTACTTGCATTTCGGCAGGTACAGTACCAATGAGGGGGAGACCTGGAAGACGTTCCTCTTCTCTGAGAAGCCGGTGTTTGTGTATGGCCTCCTCACAGAGCCCGGCGAGAAGAGCACTGTCTTCACCATCTTTGGGTCGAACAAAGAGAATGTCCACAGCTGGCTGATCCTCCAGGTCAATGCTACCAACGTGTTGGGTAAGCTGCTGCCTCCTAGGCACTCCTCATGTTATCATTTACTGACTTTCTGTTAACTGCCAAGGACCAGTCCACTCAGAACCGTTTGATTGACTGGGACAGACAGACAAATGCAGTAAGTTATCAAGAAACCCAGGCAGGTCAGTCAGTGAAGGCCTCCTTCTGGGATTCTTGTTAGGACTGTGGTACTCTTTGCATCTTCATTTCTTTGTGTAGTCCCTGGCACAGGTATGTTTTAGTGTTGTTGTTGCTGTTATGTGCCATTGTGTTGCTTGCGACTTGCTGAGACTTGAGACTCTATGTACAACAGCCCTGAACCTTGCTCTATCCAACTTTACGGTCTTTGACACATCTACCCTCATTATCCCAATCACTATATCAATCCACCTCATTGATGGTCTCCCTCTCCCTCTCCTTCCAACCTTCAGAGCATGATATGCCTCTCCAAGGACTGATCCTTCCTTACACATGCCCAAAGTATATCAGACAAAGCCTCAGAATTCTTGCCTCCAAGAAGCTTCCTGGTTTTACCCTCTCTAGGACGAACCTGTTTGTTCTCCTGGCAATCCATCATATATTCAACCCTCTTTTCCAGTATCACAGTGCAAAGGCAGCAATTCTTTTTCTATCATCCCTAGTCACTGTCCAGCTCTTTGATGCATAGCATGCAATTACAAAGACTATGGGCTGGATCAGACTCACCATAGTCTCCAGACTGACCTTGTTGCTCTTCATCTTGATAGCCAACTTTCCCAATGCAATTCACCTATTGTTTTCCTTGGGACCAAGAGTATTGCTTGTAGAGCTAAGGAAACTAAAGCTATTAGCAATCTCAATCTCTTCACTATCTCTCATAATGCTGCCAATTGGCTTAGTAGTGAGAATCTTTGTTTTCTTGATGTTGAGCTTCAATCCAGATAGAAGGCTGCAGTTCTTGATCTTCTGCAGCAAGCACTTCAGGTCCTCCTCAGTTTCAGCAAGCAGGGTTGTGTCATCTGCATAACACAGGTTGTTGATGAATCTTCCTCCGGTCTATGGATGAATGAAAAACAGTCCTGCAAATCATCAATTCCAAGTTGACCAATTCAGCAAGCATCCACTTTGTGCCTCATGATATAGGTCCTCACAGAACCATCTGGGATGTAGTCATTATCTACTAGTTTAAACACAGAGCAGCTGGGTAAGCACCTCCCATGTCACCCTATCTTTTTAGGTCCCTGTGTGGGCTAACATGATTTCATCTTCTTGGATGGCTTCTATGTGTCCCCTCTTATCCAGTTATTCATTGAAATCTTCCCTGTATTTTAATACCCCATGCAGATGCCCAGCTAGGAGAGAATTCCCTTTTTTTTTTCAGGCTTGGCACATACTTACTCATGTCCTTCCTTGAGTGGAAAATGTATGTGTTTGTACACACATGTGTATATTATCTTTTATCAACTAGATTGTAGGGTCCTTAGCAACAAGAACCTGTCCTGTCCATATTCATATTTCACTTACTGAACATCCAGATACTCTTGTAGTGAGTAAGGATTTATAGATATTAGCTTATTTGAACAGAATTGAATTGACAGTTCACCAGCTCCAGGTATTATTGAAATGACTAGAGACACATGGTAAAGAAGATATAAAGTACCAATGGAGACACAGGAGCACTTTGGGATTTCTGTGGAAGCCATTCTGCATAGTGTTTGAATGAACCTGACTTGACGGAGTGATAGTTCCAGGTTTCCCAGCCACTTCTCAGCCTCCTTCCACTTAATTGCACTTACCACTTCGGGAGAATGGATTCTCTATTGCTTTTGTGGTGTGACCACACTGCCCAAGGCGGCGGGCAAGGAACAACACTCTCAGTGCTGTTGTCTACCAGGGAGCTAGACTTTCCCTAATTCTCTAGGACATAAGCACCTTTGGGCACTTAGTCTTGAAGGGAACTACTGAATCTTCTAAACTAACTCAGATTTTTCAACAGTGCTGAAAGGTGGCTTGCTTCTTCCCAGTTTTTGCTCACAAATGTTTCTGTTTCAGATAATATCATTTGCAGGGGTCCCTCTAGCCACAAGGAAAGATCATTAGCAAGACTTGGGATGGCCCCAGAGAGTTCTTTAACTAGAGTTTAGTAGCTCAGTGGTAAGAAGCTGTAGTGTAATCCCTAAGGCACATGGTTTGAATCCACCAGCAGCTCGGCAGGAGAAAGATGAGCAATCTCCTCTCATGCAAATAACTTCTGAAAACTCACCAGAGGGACAGCTGTGGGTTGGTTCCAACTCAGTGATACTCAGCAACAGTGGGACCGGAAGTTTGAACTGGGCTGAGAGAGATGGAGAAGACAGGAACCCCCTGCAGGAGCCTGCCTCTAATAATCCTTGCTGTGTTCCTTTTTCTTCAGGGGTTCCTTGCACAGAGAATGACTACAAGCTGTGGTCCCCATCTGATGAGCGGGGGAATGAATGCTTACTAGGACACAAGACAGTTTTCAAGCGGAGAACACCCCACGCTACATGCTTTAATGGAGAAGACTTTGACAGGCCAGTGGTTGTGTCCAACTGTTCCTGTACCCGGCAGGACTATGAATGGTGAGTGCTTTCCTGGTAGCTTGTCCTTGATTCATCCTGCACTGGTGGGGAAACAGAGTAGGTAGGATAATGGTCTTTTTTTTCTGAGAAAAGCAGATAATAAATATTTATTAAGCATCTTTTATGAACCAGAAAGTGAGTGAGACTCTTATTTACATAGGGTCTCCTATTTAGTTCTTAGGGTGTGTAATATGGTATAAGCATTGTAATCTGGTAAATCCAAAGTAATTGATTCAGGAATAGATAATATTGCAAATTATTTCTGAGAGTCATCAAATTGGTAATGTGCTGAAGCTTTACTGTAGGCAGCTTCTTATTGTTGGGAGTCTACTCTATGGAGATTGATTTCTTTAGAAGGAGGCGATTTTTTTAGAATATGTGTTTTTGGCCTCATTCATTACTCTTTGAAAAGAATAGCCGAGAAGAAAAGACAATTGCATAAGTAATTGTAATAGGAGATGGAAAGTGGCAAGGACCTGGAGGAGGAATGGGTGCTTTTGTGGTGCTTAAAGGGAAGAATAAGATTATGATTTGCTCCTGACTGAAGGATGCAGCTCCATTTAAGATGTTCCTTAAGGGTTATCTGACTGTGTGGACAGAAGCATTCTAGGTGAATGTAACAGCAGTTAGAAGTGTGGTGGCAGGAAAATGTTGGCGCTGGTTCGGTTTAGACACCGTTTGGGTGCCTGAAGCCAAGGCAGTGATGGAGATGAGCTTTCAAGAGGGGTTAGATATTTTGAAAGCTAAGCTGGTGAGTATGGACCTTAGAATGAAAGCAAGAGGAAGATTTTGAAGGTTTTTGAAATGGGATGTCAGAGCCATCAGACAGTCATCAGAGTCCCCAGATTTGAAATTGTTCAAATTATTCTGTGTGGAATAATTCTCAATTTTAAGCAAGGGTAACCGAACAAAGCAATATTAAACATAAACACTCATAAATCAGTAGTCTTTGTGCTCCAAATCATGCTTATCTTAACTAAAGTCAGAAACTTGTGGTGTGTCTTTGATTAGGGGCTAAAAAAAATATTTTCAATAAAAGGACCACATGATAAATATTTTAGACTTTGTGGGCCACGCAGTCTCAACTATGGTAGCATGAAAGTGGCCGTAGACAGTGAGTGTGACTGTGACCCAATAAGACTTTGTTTACAAAAACAGCCACCCAGACTTCACTGACTCCTGTTTAAGACCTGAGCTTCCCAAATGCTAATGGGCATATGAACCACCTGAGGTTATTGAAATAAGAATCTGACCTCAGTAGTTTGGGGGACCTGTAGTTGTAATGCAGCTTTTTTTGCAAATTGGTCCTTGGAGTGGTGGTAAGGGGTTAGGCTGGACAAGGCAGTCTTTCTTTTTGGAAACAGTATGACCTTAAGTTAACAACAGAGATACTCCTGATAAAAATCACAGAACTATGCGATATTCCCAATGATATCAGTTCTGGGCCCCTTTGCCTTCTGATCCCTCTGAAACACCTCTATGTTGTAAATGTAGTCTGTTGCTGGCCTAAGGTATATCCCCTTGGACTAGGCTGGATTGAGATTGTAGGGTTCTCTCTTTCTATCCTCAGTAAGTACTTCAAAATGAAAATGCAGTTAAATAAAAATAATGTAAGAAAATCCAGCATATCTTTGGGTTTTTGCTCTGTGGCCATTGCTAAACTTTTTCTTTTTTTAAAGAAGAGACATTATGTTTTCCTCTGCAGCCTGCCTCCCATTTGTTCTGTCATGCCACATTCTCCCTGACTCCCTGAGCCCACGGGTGCTCCTTGCTGATGCGTGCAGTGAGTCTTGTTTATTGTAGAGAAGGATGAACTGCTGTTCATGACATTGGATGGCAGGATGGGTGAGATGGCGAGGTTACAGCATTTTGAAGATGCAAGATGCATAAGAACTAAGATCTTATGCCATCCTGATAGTTCCTCTGGTTGTTGTAGCTGCTAGATTGGAGCCAGCCTCACTGCTTGCCTCTTTGGACTGTTTGATGGGATTGGATTGGACTGATACTGTTTGATGGGATTGAATTGGACTGATGGTGGTAGGAAGAGAATCGGTCCACCAGTGGAGATCAGGAGAGAAAAGGAGAGCAGGTAGACATGTCATATCTATCCAGTAGTTTGTTCTGATGTTGCTTTTGAAAGTAAGGTCACTCTGAGAGTCCTTTTCAAACCAGGAAGCCTTGCTTATTAGTACAAAAGCTGTTGCAATGGGACTGCTAGGGACCTATGGTGACCCCATGTATGCCATGGTGGAACTGTGTTCCACAGGGTTTCCAGTGCATTTTCTTGGAAGTAAATTGCCATCCCTTTTTCTGAGGCACCTCAGGATAGTCTTGAATCTGCAATGTTTAGGTTAGCAGTTGAATATGTTAGCCATGAACACTACTCCACATTCCCTGATTCTAAAGGGACCTGCTCTTGGGAGGTACTGTGGAGAGGGCTTGAAATCATAGCAGCTTGTATATCCAGGGTACAACAGAATGAAACCCTGCTTGCTCCTATCCCGTCCTCACAGTCTCCACTGTGCTGAAGCCCTTCTTTCAGTCACCCTCTGTCCAGTTCATTGAGGGTCTTCTCTCCCACTGACCCGCCATTTTTGTAAGCATAGCGCCTTCCAGGAACTGGCTACTCTTAAGAACGCGCCATGGTGAGGTGAAGGCTCTCGACGCTTGCTTCTAAGCAGCATTCTGGCTGTACCGTTTCTAAGACAGCCTTGCTTATTCTTTTGGGAATTAATATATTCCTTTTTCTTCAACAACACTGCAACTGAAAGTCATGATTCTTTCTTCTTCTGTCATCCTTATTTATAGTCCAACTTGCACATATGTAGGAAGCATTTGAGAAGACCGTGGCTTGGGTCAAGCACACCATCCCACTGTGCCAACAACTGACTTCACATGTTCGAGTGTGTCTCCCATAAATAGTTCATTTTTGTATCGTGACCCTACACCTACCCTACAAACACAAATACACGCCCACTCCTCACTATCCACAGTGGAAATACAAGTCTTATGAAGCAAATTTATTCTTAAGTTTAATGCCATTTTCTGTTCTTTGTAGGGCTAATGAGAGAGTCAAGAATTGCCCTTCCGATGACTTACAGTTCATGAGGCCATGACCCACATTTGAAGAAATCTGCCTATTAATCAAATGGTGCTTTGCTAGTGGAGGCAAATGAGTAATTAACTAATGCTCCATCTGGTCCCCTAAAAAGATTAAAAGCAGACATCCAATGAAAAAGACTGATAAAATGAAAGAGACCCACTTGATTTCGAAAGAAAATGTTTTAAACATGTCTCTAAAAATTGTTATGTGTAAATTATGATATAATACATATAAGCTTCTTTGCACTGTTTCTGTTAATAGTTTTCAAATTATTGTTGTTGTAAGTTGCTACGACTTAGAGTGACCTTGTGAACAACAGATTTGAACTTTGTCTTTTTATCTCCAGCATCTTTGATGTATTTAAGCCCATTGTTACAATTACTGTGTCAATTCATCCTGTTGAGGACCTTCATATAGTTAGCATTTAATAAATATTCTTTAAATTAAGAGAGCTATTTCTGGTCTTTTGAATGTAGACTTCACAATTTGGCTGGGATCTTGGGAAGCGTATGGCACAGTGGCCTTGGTTTAGGGTTCTTGGGTAGAGCCCAGAGAAGTCATGTGCTTAAAGGCAGAGCCAAGATTTTATCTATGTCTTCTGCGTTTTGCTTCAGTATGCTGCCTGTGAGCTGTGAGGGTTGGCAGTATTTGTGGCCCCTAGGTTGCTGGTCGTATGTACTGAGCAAGTATGACCCTTGAGAATCTTTCTCTCTTTTGTTGATCCTTTGCTATTCTAAGTATGATGTACTTCTTCAAGGAAAAGCTTCTCCTAGCAACATGCCCAAAGTATGTGAGGCAAAGCTTTGCCATCTCTATCTCTAAGGAACACTCTGGTATTATTATCCTCAAAACATATCTGTTTGTTTTCTAGGCAGTCCATGAGATATTTAGCACTCTTCTCCAACAGCACAGCTCAAAGCCATCAATTCTTCTACTGTCATCCTTATTCATTGTTCAGCTCCTAGACATATAACAAGTGGTTTTAAAATACATGGCCTGAATCAGGCATACCTTAATCTTCAATCTGACATCATTGCTCCTTAGTAACTTGGAAAGGTCCTTTTCAGGGGACTTTCTGAATGCAGTACAGCTCCTGATTATTGGTACCGAGGATGTTGATTGTGGATCCAAGTAAGATGAAATCATTGACAGTGTCAATCTTTTCCCACTTATCATGATGATGCATATCAGTTCATTGGTGAGAATTGTCTTTGTTTTGTTGCGATAGAATCCATCTTGAAAGCTGTAGTCTTTGATCTTCTGTAACAAGCATTTCAAGTCCTCCTCACTTTCAGCGAGCAAAGTTGAGTTATCTGCATAATGCAGGTTGTTGATGAGTACTCCTCCAATCCTGATGCCACATTCTTTTTAATAGAGTCCAACTTCTCAAAAGGCTCAGTGAGTGCCATTCATTCTTTACTCCTGTCACTTGCTATGTCTTCAGAAAGTGCAACTAGAGTGCTTTTTATAGGCAAGTCCTCTCACATACAATGAGCATGTTGTTAGGAGGGGGCTATTGCTTAGAAAGTGACATCATGCTTAAAAAGGCAAGGATGACTGAAAGATAGGAAGACCCTCAACAAAATTGATGTGCTACAGTGACTGTGTGTTAAAGATGTTAGTGATGGTGTAGGATAAGACAGGGTTCAGCTCTGTTGTTCATAGGATCTCTGTGACTTGTACTTGACTTGATGGCAACTAACAATAATGACAACATCATTTGCTGGTCCCTTTTAACACAGAGAGGGAGGCCCTCAGTCTCATGATAGGAAATTGGTTCTAGTTAAAATTTATCATTTTGTTTCTGAATAATGATTTATCACTTTTGTGTTTTATGACATGGGTAGATACCTAGATACCTCTAATAGATAGCTAGATAGCTGTTGTCAAGTCACCTCTGACTCCTGGTGACTCGTGTGTGACTGAATGAAATGCTGACAATCTGGTTGCATCCACATGATAACAATCTGTCCATCTGTCTCATGGGCCAGTCCCTTTCCCTCAAGGTCTCTGACTCCCTAACTGGTCATTAAAGACCTAGCATAGTAGTTATCTAGTTGGCTATCACAGAACGTTCCTTTTGAAAATGTGTTTTGTCTGCACACCTATGTTTATTGCTGCATTGTTCACGATAGCAAAGAGTTGGAAATAATCCAAGTGTCCATCAACAAACAAATGGATAGAAAGCTGTGGTATATTCACATAGTGGAATATTATGCAGCATGGAAAAACAAGGAACTCATAAAATATTATACAGAATGGGTAACCCTGGAGGACATTATACTATGTGAAATATCTCAGTCACAAAAGGACAAATACTGCATAGTGTCACTGTTATAAAACAGGACTAACATGGGAGTTGGGGGGAAACTATGAAAAGAGGGGATAAATAATGAACACTGCATTGAAACAAATGAGAGAACTGTTTAAAAAAGGAAAATGTGATTAGGTATTATTTGCATGACAACAGTCCAGAGTAAGAGGTGCATAGCAAAGTAGACTGGGGTGTGGGGGGAGGAAGGAAATTGTACCACAATAAAAGAATCTTTTTAAGAAGAGAAGCGAATTGGGGGAGGATGTAGGGAGGAAAATGTGCAACAATGAATGAATGGAAATCCAAGTTTTCTGTAAACTTTCATTAAAATATCAGTAAAAAAGGTGTGTTTTGTCAATGTGAAAAGTGAGTCTATTTTAAAGGGACATATGAGGTAACAATATGCAGGCGCCAAAATGTTGGTAGTGAAATATCTCATGTTCACAGAACAATCCCTTAACAAACTTCACTTGCCTTTTCAGTGACTTTGGCTTCAAGATGAGTGAAGATTTGTCCTTAGAAGTTTGTGTTCCAGACCCGGAGTTTTCCGGGAAGTCATTCTCCCTTCCTGTGCCTTGTCCTGTGGGTTCTACTTATAGGAGAACAAGAGGGTGCGTATCATTGTTTTCATCCCAAAAGTCTTTATATTGCTCAGTATTGGCCTTTGTTTTCCTGATGTCCTAGATGAAATAATTTTTAAACTTGTTTGTAAAGCATGTCCTCTTTTACCTTATAACCCCACTATACTGTGCAAGTGTAATAACATTGTAATTAGAATAATGATACTAATAATCATCTCCCTTCTTTTCTTTCTTTTTAAAAAATTTTTTATTTATTGTTATTCATTCATTGTTGCAGTTTTTTCTCTTCCTTCTTCCTACCCCAGACCTCTTTGCAATGTGCCTCTTGTTCCATATTGCTGTCATGCATATAAAGCCTAATTGTATATTCCTAATAACCCTCTTGACTGTCATTTACCTTTTCCATTGTGCATTCCACATATTGACTTTTCCAGAGACCTGTAATGTGGGACGGGTGGACCAGGAGGGATTGTCCCTCTTCAGCACTGAAGCTGCTGAGGTTACATAGCTTGCTCAGGACCTGCAGCCATCACAGGAGTCTACTCTGCACTTTCTTGCCCAGGACTTGTTTTTGTTGTAGTAGTAGTATATTGCAAGATCAAGGTCAAGTTGTACTTGTACTATTCACTGATGACTATTCATACAAGGCTACTTAGTAAACTTTCTGCTTGTAGTTTTCAGGGGCAGTTTCTTATTTCCTACTTTGTGTATGCCTTATATACAACAGTCTTAGGTATAAAAGAGAATGGACTCATTTTTATCTCCTCTCAAGGCTTCATTTTTATCTCCTTTCTAGGCTTTTTACCTTTTCCTCATACACAGCTGTGTGTGTCCTTAGGGAGAATGGATCCTCAACAGAATGCAGTATGGGGAGGAGGCAGCTCCATTTGTGTGACAGCTGGAGTATTTAGTCCAGATGTGATTGATGTGGCCTCCTGGTTGACTTTGTAGCCTCTCACTACATAGAAGCTATTGTGACCACCCAGCTTTCCCTGGTAGAGTAGAAGGCATCTTAAGACCTTCAAGTTGGTTTTGAAAGATTTTTTTCCCCCTCCTATTCCAGATAGATCTAAGTTATTACGTGTTGTTCTAGAAGGCAGCTCCTGGGCAGATTTATTTTTAATAATCCAATGGGCAGGTTTTAATATCTGCTGCTATTGTTGTTGTTAAGTGCTGTCGAGTTGTTGGCGACTTGTAGCGACCCTATGAACAAAAGACCTGAACACTTAATATCTGCTACTGGAGAAATTAAAGGGAGGATTACAGAAAGATCTTCAATCAGGGGAGAGGACTGCATGTTCACCACCTGGATTGCCCTTTTTCTCTAAATTCTAGAGTTCTAAGTTAGCAGGTTAGAAGTATGATGGACATTTTAAATACAAATGTTTGTAAACTCTTTAGCTCTAGTGAAGGGGAAAATCACAAATCTGTAAGCTTCTTTGCAACCCTAGCAAGAGCACACCTGCCTCTAATTGCTTGTTCTCATCTCATTTCATCTCATCTCATCTCATCATGAGTGAAGCACTCAGAATGACTGCACTCTTGCTTCCAGTTTTATGTGGAAATGAATAAATGCTATCTGTTTTCCATGGATAGGAAATATGTTTCCCACTGGTATACTTTCAAGAATGACTGTTCTTTGCTGTTTTCAGACTTTCTGTCTTTTTTGGGGGGGTGTGTGTGTGACAGTTACCGGAAGATTTCTGGAGATACTTGCAGTGGTGGAGACGTGGAGGCAAGGCTGGAAGGAGAGCTGGTCCCCTGTCCACTAGCAGGTAAGAGAGTCACACCTTGCCTTTGACGTCTTCAGATGTCATCAAAGCATCACCACACACAGGCTGGTGGCTTTCATACATAATGGGGGTGTGGGCAAGGAGAATAATGGAAAATGATCAGCCTCACAGAGCTCACTTTTCTCCTGAAGCTTAGTCTTCAAATTACATTTATATATCATTTTAAATCTTTATAGGAACAGAAAGCATTTTATACCAGCTCAGTTTTTGGAGGAAAATATCTTTATTCATTAAAAAAATATTCATTCAACATCTATTGTGTACTAGGGCTGCAGGTTGTCGCAAGAGTTTTTTCTATTTCCATTGTCTGTTGGTCCAAGTATAAGATGATGAAAGAGCCGTTGTCTTCTTAGAAAGAAGTTGAGTGTTTTGTCTTAGTTTTATAATAATAACAACTGATATTTTTGTGGAATTTTACAGATTTTAATGTACTTTTACATGTGTTCCCAATTTAATCCTTTTAACAGCCTGATGGAGCAGATGTTATTGTCAGCTCCAATATTTTTTCTAGGAAGGGATATGTTCAGAGGAGAGAATTAGACGCCGTAAGGTCACACATCTGTTAGGTGGTGAAGTTAAAATTCAGATTCTATACCCAAGCAGGCTTTTAGTTGGGCATGGTCCAAATGGCAAAGAAATACCATTTCTCTTATTTCAGATCACCATTGTGCTTGCTAATTAAGAGGGGAAAAAATCTTTGGGACAAGTGCACCTTATGAAGAGTAGTGTGACAGTAGCTAGAGTGTTTTGAATGAAATGAGGCCGGGGGAAATGAAGGCAAATTTCTCTTTCTTAAAAATTTCCAATGGATTTATTATTTGATCCGTAATCTAAACTGAAGCCTCAATAAAGGAGACATGGACTGGAGATCTGCTTTGACTCTATGAAGAACAATTCTGCTGTCAGCCCGTTAGGTCACCCTGAGTGAAAATTGACCAGCTGCAAACTGGAATTTACTTTTTATGCATGCAGACTCATTGATTGATTGGAATGGGAAGAGGGGGCTGGGGAACTCAACGAAAAATTAAAGCAGGCATGCAGTAAAAAGATTCAAATCCACGCCTGGTCCCATATGTCCCAAGATGCTTGTCACAATAAATGCTTTAGAAATGAATGCTGGTGTGTTTCAAAGCATGTTACCAAACAGTTGTTTGAGTGGTGATATAACATGTTGAGGCATCCGCAACACAGGCATGAAATTCTGGTAGCTAAAAATATCATTAAACTCTTAGCATCTCTCTTGCACTGTTTCCCATTGGCACTGGCTTAAAGCCCCTTGATTTCGTCTGAGTGTATCCCCTGCTCCAACCTCCCAGAGTGGACCAGCTATTGGCACTCAGTTCCATTAGGCGAAGGTGGGATTCCATGGACCAGCCAAAAGTGCCAAATGAGTCATGAAAGGAGTGTCTTTCTTACAGTCAGGGCAACCAGCCCTCTCGTTTGCTCTCTGCTTGCCAGCTGGTTTTTCATGCTAAGCTCATTAGACCTTTAATTTAATCTTCCATCATTACCAGAGTAATTAACATACCTCACTATGGAGACTTAAAAAGACCACAACTTCAGCAGATTCCTACAAATGAGCAGATAATAGGCACATACTTCCCTCATAAGGGCTGTTATTGATGAGCACTTGTGGGAGTAGGGGTTGAGTGATTGCTCTTCAGGGCCTGGAGTGCATACTTTTATAATAAATATTTCTGAGGAGAATCCAGCTCGTGACAAAATAGTTTGTTTAAGGCAATCTACACTAGTAGGAAAGCTATTTTCTCATCTGATCGAAGATAGAAAAGGGAATGAAGTAGAAAAATTTTATTTGCTGCATGGGCTACTATTTCCTAAATTTAAAAAATAGAAAATAGAAAAGCCAAGTGTGGAAGAGGATGCTGAGATGCAGCAAGGAAAGAGAGAGTGTTTAACAGGGCTAATGGGAACCATAAAATCTTTGCAAAGATGAGGTAATCTAGGCATCTGGAAAGATTCTTAAATTGCAATAATTTTTTTCTTCCTTAATGATTACAGTACTAACACAAATTTCTGGGCTTCACTTTCACACGACCAGGGCTGGCCAAGGCTCTGTTCCTTTTGTAGATTGCACTGTTCACACTGCCATTGACTTGGCTCTGACTTGTAATGACCCCACATGTATCTGAGCTGAACTATAGCCCTGGGGCTTGCCGGTGACTGACTTCAGAAGTAAATCTTTAAGCTTTTTTCCCAGGGACCTCTGGTTAGACTTGAACCACCAGCCTTTTGATTAGCAGCCAAGTTGGTTAACCGCCTCACCCTGGGTCTCCACTCTAGTCCTAATCCCAATGCAGCTTTTTTTGTACTTGAACTTTACCGTGAAGGGATTACAAAAAAACGCTAAAGCCACAGAATGAGGTCTGTAGCTATGGGTGGAAAGAGAGGACTGTGAAAGGCCTGCTGCTGTGAGGCATTCTGGGAGTCCCTGCGGCAGCTTCAAGGAGAACCTTGCCTTTGATGATGTGGGTTTTGTTTTTTTAAATTGTGATTATAAGGAAAGTTAAAGCCCTGGACTTTAATTCCATGTAAACCCTCGGCAGCTTTCCCGTGTCCTGCATCTTGACTGCCCCGTAGCTGGGAATGACAGTGGGAAGAAATCCTTGAAAACTCAGAGCTGACTAGTTATCATGTGGTGATAACTTAGTCTTTTGATGTGAAGTGAGACAGGAGGAAGAAAAAGCTAATCTTCACTCAAGATTTCAGATGGATTTGTGTTTTGCTGTGCTGTCTGTACTGAAGCCTTTATGAAGTGGTGGCCGGCTCACTCTTTGAATGCATGGACTGAAGGGTGGAGACACTGACCCTGGAGCAAAGGAACTCAGATCTGCATCTGGTTCCCTGTGTGGATGCTGTTATACAGATCCTTCCACTTCTTCAGCTCTCTGAATGTTTTCAAGGCTATTTCCTAAGTAAAAGAGTTCTTAGGAGTCTTGTTACCTGACATTAGAAGGGAATCTTTTAAGATTCTGTAACTCTATAAGTTTTTAAAATAGTCTAAATGGAATATCCATGTTCCGAAAAAGGAGTCCTAGTGACAAAGTATGTAGTATGTGGGATTGCTAGTCAAATGGTCAGCATCCAAATCCACCGACCACTCTGTGCGTTGAAGATGGGCAATCTCCCCCTGTAAAAATTTACAGCCTTGACAATCTCTCCACTGGAGGGTCGCTATGAGTCGGACTCAACTTGGAGACAGTGGGCATGGTTTGGGATATGTTATAGGCAGTGGGCTTGGTTTGGGATATGCTATAAGAGCTCATCTACATTGAAGAACGACTGTAAAGACACAGACTCTAAATCCAGGCTGTTGTGGGGTCAAGTCTTGCCACTTACTAGCCATGTGACCTTGGGTGATTGTCTTAATGTCTCTTGCTTCACTTGTCTCATATGTCATAGTTCCTATATCATACAGTTGTTATGAGGATTAAGCAATTCCAGGCACATAGGAAGGGAGCTCTGGTGGCCTGGTGGTAAGGAGTTGGCTGCCGACTTAAAGCCTGGTAGTTTGAATATACTAGCGGCTCCACGGGAGCAAGATGGGCAGTCCCTCCCATGCAATGTACAGCCTCTCATGGCTCACTTGAAGTGTCATCACTGAGTTGATTCCCACTCGATGGCAATGAGCTTGAGGCTTGATTTATTCATTTTTATTAGTACATAGTAAGTACACTACATAAGTGTTTGTGATATAGAAGTAGGATCTTTATGAAGATTGTTTGTAAACATTTAGAAGTAGTCAAGGACAAGTGTGGGATGATACAGTGATATAATTGCCATTTATCATTGTCAACAAAGTTGAATAAATGAGCAAGTTTAGTTAGAAGATTGAGTTACAAGTTTTGAGAGACTTATTGTCTCTAGCCCCAAGATGCGACCCTAGAATGAGGGCAAGCCTGCTGATTGGTGATTGTGCGGCTGATGACATTGAGGATGAGCTCAGAAGCAGGATGCTGGAACATGCCGACTGAGGAATATGGGTGAAAAAATTAGGCAATGTTTTATACATTATACAGTACTCATGATTCTGAGATTCAAACGTGCTTTAGCAACTTGTGTAAGAAATGTGATTTGTTGCACAATGTCCCTTGACTCTTTTTTTAAAAAATTTTATTAATTTTAATGAACATTTACAGAGATTGTGGATTTCCATTCATTCATTGTTACACTTTTCTCCCTGCCCACCCCTCCCTTCCAGATAGCTCTTCTCTTTGAAAAGTAAAAGAAAAATTCCTTCGTTGGTATACAACCACCCCCCGTACCCCCTCCCCACCCAGAGTACACTCCACTATGCAACCTTCATTCTGGACTTTTGTGATAACCATAATACCCTATCATATATCATTTTTAAACTGTTCTCTCCTTATCTATTTCAATGCAGTGTACATAATTTATCCAGTTTTTCTCAGTCTTACCCCAACCCTGTTGTCAGTCCCATTCTACAACACTGGCATCATATAGTATTTGTCTTTTGTGACTCAGATCTTTCACTCAGCATCATGTCCTCCAGGGTCACCCATTTTGAATAATATTGCATGAGTTCCTTGTTTTTCAATGCAGCGTAGTATTCCATTGTGTGAATATACCACAGCTTC